AATTAGAGGTTTTTACAGTAGCATCTTGAGGATGAAAACTGCCTTCAAAGTATTTTCCCAACAGACAGAGTACATTTAAGGCTTCATAACATCTGACTCACTGACATTTTTCTGTGACATTTACTGCAGTCCCCACACTGTGACAGCATTCCTCCCATTTCCTCTCTGTGCCCACCCCTTCCCTTTGTCCTTTCTTCCCATCCCTTCCTGCCTTCCTAGCTCTATCCCTGGGCACATGCATCATTTTCCTTTGGTCTTCCTGATTCATTGTCTAGCTTTGACATGCATATGAGGCTATTGAAAATGCTGTGGCTTGAGTCAGATGCACCTTAATCTTCAGAGTGACATCTTTGCTCTTTAACTTTATATTTATTTATTAAATTGTTATTTGGGTGAAAGTTTACTAACCAGTTTGGTTTTCCATTCAAAAATCCAAATACTTTCTGTTTTGTGACGTTCACTGCAGTCTCCATATTGTAACAGTGTCCTGCCCACTTCCTCCCTGTGCCCATCCCTTCCCTTCGCCCTTCCTTCCCATCCCCTCCCTCCTTCCTAGCTCTGTCCCTGGGCAAATGCTGTCTTCTTGATCTCATGTGCTTGATTGTTCTAATAAGTGCATTCCCTCCTGGTATTACTGTTCACCTTACAGGCCTGTCATTTGGCTGCCAGTTGAGTCATGGGGGTTAAGTTCGGTTCCTTGCCTTAAGGGTGTCTAAGGGCTGTGGTCTTTGGGGACCACCAGTCTTCATCAGACCAGAACTCCTGTCTTTACAATGGTGAATTTTGTTCCACATTTTCCCTCACTCTGGGACTCACTGACATTTTATTGAGTGAAGAAGGGCCTATGGTATGTTGGCATTTACTCAGTAAGTGTTGTTGTTAGGTGCCCCCATGTCAATTCTGACTCACAGTGGCCCTGTGTCCAACAGGACACAGCACTGCCCACTCACGGTGGTCCCATGTCCGAGAGGACACAGCACTGCCTGCTCACGGCGGCCCCGTGTCCCAGAGGACACAGCACTGCCTGCTCACGGCGGCCCCGTGTCCCAGAGGACACAGCACTGCCCGCTCACGGCGGCCCTGTGTCCCGCTGCCCGCCCCTGCTCCATCCTTTCTGTGCTTGAGCATCGCTGCAGCCACCATGTCACCTGTCTGGTGTAGGGTTTCCTGTTTTTTGCTGGCCCTCTACTTTTCCAAGCATGATGTTCTTCTCCAGGGACTGGCACCTCCTGGTAATGTGTGCAAGGTGCGTGAGACGTGGTCTCACCATCCTCGCTTCCTAGGAGCATTCAGGCTACACTTCTTCCAGGACAGATGTGTTCATTCTTGTGGCAGTCCACAGTGTAGTCAGTATTCTTTGCCAGCACTGTGATTCAGAGGCATCAACTCTTCTTCAGTCTTCGTCACTCATTGACACCTTTCACATGTGTATTAAGGCAATAGAAAACACCATGGGTTGGATCAGGTGCACTTTAGTCCTCAAAGTGACATCTTAGCTTTTTAACACTTTAAGGAGGTCTTTTGTAGCAGATTTGCCCAATGCAGTACACTGTTTTATTTCTTGACTGCTGCTTTCATGGGTGTTGATTGTGAATCCAAATAAAATGAAATCCTTGACAACTTCAGTCTTTTCTTCATTTAACTGTGATGTTGCTTTTTGGTCCTGTTATGGCCATTTTTGTTTCTTTAAATTGAAGTATAATCCATACCAAAGGAGTTTTGGTGGCACAGTGCCTAAGGGATTTGACCGCTAACCAGAAGGTTGGTGGTGCAACTCCACCAGCCGCTCCGCAGAAGGAAGATGGGGCAATCTATTTCCATGATGATTTACCACCTCAGAAACCCGCTGGGGGTTGCTATGGGTCAGAACTCAATGGCAGTGAGTTTGGTTTTGGTTTATATCCATATGCCGAAGGCTGTAGTCTTTGATCTTCATTAGTAAGTGCTTCACGCCTTCTTCACTTTCAGCAAGCAAGGTTGTGCTACCTGCGTAGCACAGGATGTCAGTGAGGCTTCCTCCAATATGATGGTGCGTTCTCTTCTTCATACAGTCCAGTTTCTGAGATTATCTACTCAGCATACAGATTGAATAAGAATGGTGAAAGAATTCACCCCTGGCACACACCTTTACCTGGATTGAAAAAGATGTATTTATCAAAGGCATTTTGACTGCTAACTAGAAAGTTGATGGTTCACATCCACCGGCCGCTCTGCAGAAGGAAGATGGGACAATCTACTTCTGTAAAGATTTACCACCTCAGAAACTTGAAGGGCATCAGTATGAGTTGGAACTAACTCAATGGCAGTAAGTTTGGTGTGTTCTTTTTGGTTAATAAAAAGAAAACAATTACTCAGTCAGCTTCTGACAACCAGAGTCTGCCTTTGCTCTCCTGGTCCCCAAGCACAGATTTGTTGGAATCATTAGGGAAGAGGGTCCCTTCTTTGTTCAAGAGAAGGCAAATCATGTTCTTTGGATTTTTGCATTAATATATTGACTCGAGCAGTGTGACAGTAGCGTGGAAGGGCCGGCGGCAGATTTCCTAGAGCACATGATACTCTCCCGTGACAGGGGAGAGGCCATGATTAGGAAATGAAGAGTTAGCAGTAGTGCTGGGGTGGCTCCACTGGCCTTGAGGAAACGTGACCTTAGTATTTTGTTTTTTCCTAGCTTGTCCCAGGAAGGGACACGTCTTTGTATTTGAGGGAGCACAGTGAGTTGGCATTCATTTGCAGGCAAAGATCAGAGGCAATCTGGCCACTGACTTCCTGATTCAGGCAGCAAAGATGACACGTGGTTTCATGTGTCCTTTTCAATTGTCAATGAGCTGTCTTCCAGACACTAATTATGCACCATCCTTCCTGTGGTAGTTTTCTTTAAAATCTCATCATATTCTTTGTGACCTGACTGCAGTTGTGGATATTTGAGCAAAGTAGCATTTTGTGAAATCCTAGCGGTTTATTGAATTACTGGTAGTTTTGGTAAGTTTCACGTGCTGGTTTGATCACAGTGCTGTCATCACTGTGCTGGAACCTAAGGCCTAGGTTGGATTCTTTGGTAGCCATCTGCTGGTTTTACTTTACTTACTGACTGAGAAATACTTGGCCCGGTTTTGGAAAATTTATGTCATCATTATATCTGTCTTGACAAATCCATCATAAGTTGGTTCTGACGTAAGCCAAATACCTCTCTTTTCATTGTTAATGCCAAAGCCATGGTAAATCACAACACTGGACATCTGCAGGTGACCATCTGAGAACGATGACATCAGTAAATCACATGCTGATACACTGTATGTAGAGTTTATTACTAATGGTAAAATGGACCAAAAAATAAACAGATGATCATAAGTGCGATTTGTCGTCACTTGAACACATCACAAGTCAGGGATGACCTGGAGTTCCCTGTTGCATGTTACGTCACGTCAGACTCCTCTACCTGAAGTTTGGGATTCAGCATTGACTGTCTGTCTGTCCAATCCAGTCTTCACAGTTCCACAGTCATCTTCCACTGCAATTAGGCTTCTTACCGTGTGACCTTGAGCAAGATACTTAATCCCCTTAATTCCATCATCTGTAAAGCAAGAATTGTAGTAACAGCGTCTGCCTCACGGGGTTTTTAATGAGAATTGAGATATCTTTAGAAAATAATAGTCTCTATTTAGTGGGATCTTACAGAGTACCAAGGTCTCTCGTATGCTTTTCAAATTCCTTGTCTCATTTTACCCTCGTAACAGCCTGGGAGGTGGGAAGAGGCTGTGTGGAGGTTGTGGTGGTAATGACTGCGCGCTCGCCGCGTTCCAGCAACTTCGTGTGCTTTCCTTCAGCCCTCTAAGCTGTCTTAATGGTTACTGCTATAATTCTTATTTCATAGACGCATGCAGGGAGGTGAAGTAGCTTGCCTAAGTTCTCGTAGCTAGTGCATGGTGGAGCTGGGTTTAGAATCCAGGCAGTGTTCCTCTGGAGTCCACACTCTTCCTCCTCTGTGCCACACTTCTCCAAAAAACCAAACTCACTGCCATTGAGTCAGTTCCAACTCATAGTGACCCCCATTGGGTTTTCAAGACTATAAATCATTATGGAAGCAGACTGCCCCATCTTTCTTCCACTAGAGCAGTGGGTGGGTTTGGACACACTGCCCTTTTGGTTAGCAAGCCAGATGCCTTAACCATACACTACAGAGCTCCCTTGCTATACTTCTGGGTTCCTAGTTTGTGCCCATTTTTCAAAACTAAGTGGCATAGCTAGAACATGAATGTGGAGTTTGTCGGATTTCAAAACTGTGTTCTCAATTGTCACGTTGTATGGCCAAAAAAGGTTTCCTGATGTGATGCTATTGAGTGGATCAGTTATGAGTCACGTAGCTATGCTCACATATGCCTGAAAGGTGATGCTCTTGCCTTGGTTGACTAACACAGGAAGACCAGGCCTCTGACCACCTGCTGGACACAGGGACACTACCTGTGGAGTTGACAGAGAAGATGACCACCCTTGGAATTTGGTGGATTGCCTGGCAGGATTCCTGACTGTTGCTGAATTCCCAGTGGTGATGTCAGTGTTAAGGAGCCGTTTCTATAGATTCAGTGGCAGGACTTAGGTGCCTAGGATGTCGGTAGCTGGTGGGAGGCCTTGGGGAGAAGACAGCACTTCTCTAGTTATCTCTAGACTCTCACTCTGTTTACTGACCCCCCTTCTGGTGGCTTTGCTCCTGTGTTCTCCCTATACTTGCCTTCAACTCACATGTGTGATTTTTCTTGGACGAGGGTACTGCGTGTTTAATCACCAACCTGGGGAGGGAGGTGTGGTTCACCATGACTGAAAAAAGGAAGGTCTGTTGAAAAATTGCCCACAGCAGCTAACCCATGGAGGACATAAAACACGTCTCAGTTTTAGGTTTTAGTCCCTGAACTCCTGCACTGGACTTGATAGAAGTTATTTCAAGGCTGTTTAGCACCCACAGGGGGCTGGGAGCCCCCACACTAATGCCTCCTTTTCTTTTGCAGGAAGGATGCCAGTTCTGCGCTGCTGAGCAACTATGAGGTGCGTGGCTTGGAGTGACAGTTGTGTTTTCCGCTGCGGGAGTTTGCCCTTTTCTTCTGGAGATTGTTGAGTTAGTTTGCTTGGAAATGACTAAGTTCATTGGGGTCTTCCACTTAAATGGGACGGTTGAGTCCATCTGAGGACCTTAGAATTGTCAAAGCTTGTATATGTTACACTTTATTTATTTATTTTTTAATTATGATTTGGGTGAAAATTTACAGAGCAAATTCACTTTCCATAGAGCAGTTCACATACACTTTGTTTCATGACACTGACCACAATTTACCACAATGCAACAGCTCCCCTCCCACTTCCTCCCGATAGTTACCTCTTCCCAGTGTCCATCCCTCCATACACTCCTGCCTCTTGAGCTGTCTCCCAGTGTGTAAGCAGCCCTTCTTTCTCCCATGATTGTTCTCTCCAAGGAGTGTATCTACTTGAAGTAAATGTTCAACTCATATGCCTGTATTTTGTTTGGCTGGAAACCACAGGAGTGGGTTCAATTCCAGACCTGAAGGGCAGCTAGGGACCATAGTCTCAGTGGTTCTACCAGGCTCTCTCGGACCAGCAAACCTGGTCCCCACCTTTTTTTATTTTCCTCCAAATGATTTTGAGTTTTGTTCCACATTGTTCTTCCTCTCTATCAAGGATCTCCTACATAGATCCCCTTCTAAGTGGTTGGCAGTGGTAGCCGGGCACCATCTAGTTCTTCTGGTCTCATAATTGTATAGGCTGCAGATCAGATGGTGTACCAGTCGCTAGGACTAATTGTTTCCATGAATTTTGGTTTTCTTCATTCTTCTTTGCTTTGCACGAGGAGAGACCCATCATTGCATCTAGATGACAGCTTGCTAGCTTTTAAGATCCCAGTTGCTACTCGCCAAAGTAGGAGGTGGAACAGTGTTTTGTATAGTATGTTATGCCAATTGAGCTTGATGTCCCATGTGACTATGGTCCCAAGCCCATAGGTTCAACTACTCTGTCCCTCTGTGTAGCTGTCTGTGACCAAGCAGTGACCACAACCTTGCCCCTTGTCAGCTCTACTTTTAAGAACATTTATTTTCAGATACTTGGTATTTTTTTGAGATGAGAAGAGATTAGTGATACGGTATATATTGATAGGAACATTTAAAATATTTTAAGTAAACTAGTGAATTTGGGTTATTTGACTTAGATGAAAGAGTATTTTCAAAACATCAGATGCCTCTCGGCCTCGTATGTGCCCCGACTAGATTAGAATTGGAGGGAGGGTTGGTGGGGAGAATGGAGGGACTTCCACTCTCTTATCTGTCCTTCAGGACCACTGACCTTTTCCTTCCTTGGAACTTATTCGTGAAAGTCTTCTGCGTGTCTCTTCCTAGGTGTACCAGTTACTGACTGATCTGAAAGAGCAGCGGAGAGAAAGTGGGAAGAATAAGCACAGTTCTGGGCAGCAGAACCTGAACACCATCACCTATGAAGTGAGCCTGAGCCTGCTGGGGGCCTAGCCACCGTGGAGGGCTGCCAAGTCAAGATGCCACTTACTTGATTTGAGTAGTTTGACTATAACTCAGTCTGTTCTGTTTACGAAAGTCATACTTTTTGTTGTAGACACTTTAGAAAGTGCCAGAAAGCATAAAGAGGCAAGCAGCTGTCATTCATAACCTTAACACCTTGACACTGTGCATTCTCTTCCAGCCTTCTGCTTTGCCCTTCAAAAAGAGAAAGCTAAAGCCTGGTGTTTGTCACGTGCTGTGTGAGATTCTGGGTCTGTCCTTTCTGTGTGTATGCTTTCTCCCTGTCTCCTGCCTGTTCTGATTTTTGGCTCTGTGGAGAATTTGCTTTTAACTATAGTAGCGGCTGTGTTTATCTCTTCAAGGATGTTACTACATTTGAATCAAGTTGTCATAATCCCTTTTTAAGGAAAATAAGTCATCTAGTACTTTTGCCATCTCATCCAAGTTTTGCTAATTGTGGGTTTAAAACCCTATTTACTCACATTCTCTTACATTGAATAGTTCATCTCTTTTTAAAGAAGAAAAAGCATTTATTGGTGATCAGTTTTGTGACAAAATTCAAGCCATCAGGTACTCTTAATTCTGTACTCTTGATCAGTTTAAGCTCCCTGCCACACTATTCGTCCTTAACTTTCTGTTTTGAATTCATGATGTCTTAAGGAGAGTTATTGTGATACTAAATGGTTTTCTACTAGAATTTACTTCTTGTGCTTTAATGTGAATGACAGCTTGTCTGAGTCGAGGTCCTTGGGCTCCACTGTCGTTCTGCCGGCTCTCCCGGTGTTACTTGGTCTCCTAGTGACTATTGTTATGGAGAGTCGTGGACCAACCTGAGTGTTGCATTATTGAAAGACTCTTACCTTAGAAGTTTGAGGTCAGTGTTTATTTTCCAGGTTTGAATTCCTCTCAAATTATGTCCAGGTGTGGTCCCTTCTTTAAAATAAAATAAAATCCTCTTGTCCTGAAACATATTTGTACCTCTAGAAGAGTTGCAAAGATAGTGGCAAGAGTTTCCATGTGCCCTCACTCTATTTCCCTTAATATTAATGTCTTACATGGCCATGGGACAACTATCAAAACTAAGAAATTAAGATTGAAACAGTACTGTTAAACTAAAATCTTTATTCAGATTTCTCCAGTTTGTCCCACTGGGGACAGAATATCCTTAATTTAAGTTTGTCTCATGTTTTTTATGATCAGACTGAAGTTAGGGCTTTGTGTCCTTTTCACTGCATGGTATCAGTATGTCCTATTACTGATGGTATTAACTTTGATCACTTGGCTACGATGGTGTCTGCTAGGTTTCTGCACTGTCAGGTTACTATTGTTCCATTTCTGTATTCTCTTAGTTAGAAATCTGCCAAATCCAGGCCCCATTTAAGCAGAAGGAGATTAAGCTCCACTTTCTGGCAGAAGGGAAAGGAATAGAATTGTGGACCTGTTTTAAAGCCACCGCAGTAGCTAGTAAATATTTTGGAGGCGATGCTTTGAGGCTGTGCACATCCCCTGTTTTTCCGGACCCTTTTCCCATTACTGGAGCGCTCGTCGGGATCTTTCTGGCACTGTTCTGCTGTGGGGGCTGCTGAGGGCGCTTTTCTGTTTTCCTTATTGCTGCGTGCTTACGGCTGGAATTCCTCCATTAGGAAGAGCTCTGCCTCCCACGCTCGTTTATTGGTCCAGTCATGTATTTCCGTCTGTATGTGCTCAGGGCTGTCATGTTACTCTCTGGGTTTCCAGTCTGCAAAAATGATGTGAAATAACGGGAAGAGCTCACTCGTCAGATGTTTTTTTATAAGATCAGACGGTTTTCTTCTACAGACTCACAGTCATTCTTTTTTAAAACATTTTATTTATTTTGAATTGAATATACACAGCAGCGCACACACCACTTCAGCCGTTTCTCTGTATGCGCTCGGTGATACTGGCCCCTTCTTTGAGTCGTGCAGCCGTTCCACCCTCTTCTGAGCTGTGCCTTCCCTGTTAATGTAAACTCATTGCCCCTTCAGGCTCCTGTCTGAGCTTTTGAGGAGCTGTTGTCGTGTGGTCCCATATAGCTGGTTCTTAAAAGTGCATTGTGTGCAAGGCAGACCTTTTTACTAGTTAAGCTGAACTCTGTGGTTTTAAGAAGACTTCAGGGGATATTTTTGGTGTAAGGTTTGAGACTCTCAGGGCAGTAGTTTCAGGGGTTCATCCAGCCTCCATGGCTTCTGAAAGTCTGGATTCTTCTTTTTATTCTAGCTTTGTTTTTCTCTTGGCAATTCCTACTATGTAGAGGCAGGGTCTTCTGAAATATTTGTTTTACAGAGAATTTTTAAAACGAAAAATTTTAAATTACAGCCATTGCCTTCCCTCTTTCTCACTCACGGTTCTTTGTCTTATGCTTACTTTTTCTTTTTCTTTTTTAGACATTAAAATACATATCAAAAACGCCATGCAGGCATCAGAGTCCTGACATTGTCAGAGAATTTCTTACAGCAATGAAAAGCCACAAGTTGACCAAGTAAGTAAAGATTATATTAAGTGGGATGAGTGTGTCACATAAAAAAAATGATAACTTAAACCGTTCTCAGCAGCTGTGTATGTAATTGGATATAAAGACTTGTAATTAATGCACACAGTGCTCTTTTAAGGTAGGATCACAGTGTTGCTGCCATTATTTAAGACACTTAGGTATAGGGATCCTTCTAGAGCCACAGGCAGAGCCTAGTGTTTTCTATCTCTTAGGTCTTTTCTTAGAGTCCTATGTCATATGACCTGTCTCATCGTCCCCCCCAGCACATTCAGACCAAACTGGTTGAAAAGTGAGGTTCACGATTAAAGCACTTTGCATAAAGTTGATCGATGAAAAGTCGTTTGACGTTCATGTTTGCTTGAGGCCAAAGTGATTTGACAGTGTTTTGTCTGCTCTTCTAGTGTCCAGTTCACTTGGTGACTTACTTGAATGAGTTGAACCTTTAAAAATTAAAAGGATCATTAAGCAGTGTATCGAAAGTTAACATGAGAACAAAACTAGACTGTCTTTCAGAATTAAGAGCAGAACTGAAAATTCCCAAAGCTTTTGTCATTTCATTCAAGGTAATCACTAGTTTTCTTCCGGAGGAAACTTTCAGTATTACCTCAGGCACACGGTCAGTACACAGTTAGTCGACTGTACACACTTCTCCTTTTGGCTTTCTCCTCAAATGAACTTGAAAGACAGCGTCTTCCAAATATACATATATTTGAGGTAAGGTTATTTACTTGCTCCCAAAAGTCATTCTTAATCTTTAGCATGTTAGAAGCTTAAAGAGGATTCACTTGGAATGTTGCACTGGATCTCAGAAGACCTTTTTCACTGGAAGCCAGTATAAATTATATCATACTGAACCAGGGAACTTCTGTGTCTCCATTGTCCTTCCAATAAGTGATTTTCAGATATTGTCTCTAAGTGTTGGTTTGTGTTTTCATTCTCTTAACAGTGCCTTTCTCAGAGCAGAAAATTTTAATTTTGATGTAGTTAGACTTACCTTTTTCTTTTAAATCAAGCTTTTGATGATATGTGTAAGAAGTCTGACTAACCCAGGGCCGAAGGACTTACTCATGTTTTCGTTTAGATATTTGATAGTTTTATGTTGTACCTTTTAAGTCTGTGATCAATTTTGAGTTAAGTTTTGGGGTATAAGGTAGGGTGGAAATTTCTTTATTTTTTAATGTAAGTGTTAAACTGTACCAGTACCATTTGTTGAAAAGATTGTTTTCTCTATTGAATTATCTTTGCTGTTTGTAAAAAAGAGAGAAAGTAGTTGGGTCTGTTTCTTCATTCTGTTTTCTGTTCCATGAATCTGTTTGTCTGTCCTTTGGTAGTGCCATGCCTTTTTTTTAAAAATGCATTTTATTGAAATATAATTTATGTACAGTGAAATACACAAAACTAAAGTGGCATAGGTTAATGCATTTTTTTTTTCAGTGTTCCCCTGCCCCCACCCCTGGCAACCAACAAAGAAAGTAGTTTCCCTCCATACATAAACCTTTCCTTGATCCTCCACAACTACGAACTAATACTATATTTGTTCTTCTGTGATTGACTTATTTCACTCAGCATAATGTCCTCCAAGTTCATCCATATTGTGCAGTGTTTTGCAGACTCTACATTATTCTTTAGTGCTGCATAGCATTCCATTATGTGTATGTACCATAGTTTGGTCATCCACTCTTCCCCTATAAATCTTAGGGATAAATCCCTTGCCAGATATGTAATTATCGGCAAATATGAATTTGTTGCTGTCATTTTTGTTATGTGCTTTTTCATGGTGTCGATTTCTTTGTTCCATATAATTTTCTATGCTGAGCTGGTTTGTTTATGAATCGTGTTATTACTTCCTTCACTGCTGTTGTTTTAGTATTTGCTGAATATTTATGCTGGTCCTCATTTTTGATGTGAAGGTTTATCATTTTTCTTTAGGTTATCCTGTGATTTATAGTTTTCTTCCCAAGTTTAGAATAATCTGTTCCGTCTTGTAGTTGTCTTGACTTCCTTACCTTCTAGAAGTTCTATAATGACACAGTTTTTTCCCTCTTTTTGGTTTGTAGTTGTTCTCATTTGTCAATTGATGTCTCTGGCCTGTTTATAATCTTGTAGGCTTATTTACTTTGGATACTTCCATAGCTGGGTTGGTTTCTGGGTTATATCATCATGTGTGTTAATGGTCAGTTGTTGGCTGTTGGGGTTCTCTGTCCAAAGGATTTCCTTTAGCATCTCTTGTAAGGTTGGTCTGGTTTTAACAAATTCCCTTAATTTCTGCTTATCTGGAAATGTCCTAATTTCACCATCATATTTGAGGGACAGTTTTGCTGGGTACATGATTCTTGGTTGGAAATTTTTGTCTTTCAGGGTTTTATATATACCGTCTCATTGTCTTCTCGCCTGCATGGATTCTGTGGAGAAATCCGAGCTTAGTCTTATTGGTTGCCCCTTGTAGGTAACTTTTTGTTTTTCCTGTGCTGCTCTCGTGATTCTTTCTTTGTCTTTGGTTTTGGTGAGTTTGATGATGATATATCTTGGTGATTTTCTTTTGGAGTCTCGTTGGACTTCCTGAATGACTTCTCACCTTTCATCACACCAGGAAAATTGTCTTCCAACAAATCTTCAACAATTTTCTCTGTGGTTGTATTTGTCTCTTCCTGTTCTGGAATTCCGATGACATATAGGTTATTTCTTTTGATGGTATCCCCTATGAACTGTAGGCTCTCTTCATTTTGTTTTGATCTTTTTTCTGATTGATCCTTTTCCAAAGAAGTGTTCAGTTATTTGCCTTCAGTCTCACTAATTCTGTTTTCCATTGATTCTATTCTGCTCCTTTGCCCATTCAATGTCTTATTTATTTCTGAAAATTCAGTATTAATCTTCTGGATTTCTGTGTGTAGATTTTGTATCATATCTAATTTTTCATTTATTTTGTCATTTTCTTCTTGTATTGTCTTTAGAAATTGTTCTAGGGTTTTCTCTGTGTTTTTCTTGATCTGTCTTTCAATTTGTTGAAGATACCTAAATATAATTAGTTTGAATTCCTTATCAGAGAGTTCCAATGCTGCGTCTTCTCCAGGGATGTGTTTTGAATCTGTATCTTGGTCCATTGTTTCTCCTGCTTTATCTTGCTTCTTGGTGTGGACTGTGATGCTCTGTTGTCTCCAAGGCATTGTGATGTTTTTGTGTTTATATTTAATTGGTGATTTTATGTTGGAGTGACTTTCCCACGATTTTCATTTTCTTTGTTTTGTTTGTATGTTATATACACAAGCAGGGTACTGTGCTGTGCTCCTCTGTTCGCTAGTTGACAGCACTTATACACTCACCACCTATCTCCTTTCCTGTTGTCATCCTCTCGTATGTCCCTGCTGACCTTGGCAAACAGAGTCTATTCTTAGGTTCCTGGAATCCAAATGAGAATGCTATCACTTTAAAATCCAAAGTGGTTGCCACTTGTAAAGATTGAAAATGGCTGCACCCTTGGTCACTTTAAATATTCAGAATGGCTGCCGCATGTATACAATCAAAATGGCTGTGCCCTCCAGACAGCAGAAAGTCCACAGCTCAGGTTGTCTCCCTCCTTGCTCTTTCACTTCTGAGTCATAGGCCACCAGGGCAGTCATCCCTGCAGCCCATAGTGACCAGGGCTGATCTTTAGGTCAATTCTCAGATCCTAACACCACTTGAAAATATTCAGGCTGTTGGTCCCATCAGAGTAGCTGACAGTCTGCAACTCTGACCATCTCTGTACTCACTGTTTTCATTCAGGTTTTTCCACTAGTTGGTGCCCAATCCAGTTCTGTATAGTTCCTTTCAAAGCTCAGGGCTCCAGGATTATCTTCTGTATCTCTGTCAATTGGTTTTTCTTTTCTTTGTTGAAGGGTCTGCCTATTCCTCCATCTTCAGTGCCATGCTGTCTTGATCATTATAGCTTTATAGTAAGTGGTGAAATTAGGTAATGGGTGTTCTTGAACTTTTTGTTAAACCACTTACTGTCCAGATAGAGATATTTTACCACTTTCAGTCAAATGGATAAGCCTTATCCTAACATAGTTCCCTTTACTCTCTTTTTTTTGTTTTAGTTGTCATATTTATTACATCTGTGTATGTTGAAAATACTGTTCAGTAGCATTTTAATGTTCACTGCCCTTACATATTTTAAAGAATTTGCAAGGACAGAAATAGTTTTTTTCCCTTTACCCAGAATTTTACTGTTTCTCTTGCTCTTCATTTGTTCCTGAAGTTCTCTGTTTCCCTCTTAACATTTATTTCAGCCTGGAGAACTTCCTTTAGCAATTCTTTCATGCCCGAAGGATAGTTTCACTGGGTTGAGCATTATTTTCTTTAAGCCCTTTAAAGGTGTTATTCCAGCATCTTTGTGCTGCCATGGTTTCTGATGATAAATTTGTGGTCATCCACATATATGATGTGTTAATTTCCTCTTGCTTGTCTCAGGTGTCTAGTGCTGCTGCAACAGAAATACCACAGGTGAGTGGCTTTAGCAAACAAATTTGTTTTCTCACAGTTGGGGAGACTGGAAGTCTGAATTGAGGTTGCCGGCTCCAGGTGAAGGGTTTCTGTCTCTGTCAGCTCTGGTAGGGAAGGTCCTTGTCTCTTCAGCTTCTGTCTCCCAGTTCCTTGGAGAGCTCCATGTGGCTTTGCACCTGTCTTCTCTCATCTTGGTTTGCTTAATCTCCTCCTTTTATATCTTGTAGGAAATTCACTCAAGACACACCCTGTGCTATCTGCCTCATTAACATAATGAACGCAACCCATTTCCAAATGAGATTATAGTCACAGGCGTAGAGGTTAGGATTTACAACAGGCATTTTTGGGGATACAACTCAGTCCATGATGGGCTGCTTTCAAGACTTTTCCTTATCTTTGGTTCTCAACAACCTGACTGTGCGGTCTTCAGGTCTGTTTGTGGTCTTTATTATTTATTTATTTTGAGTTTATCGTGTTTGGGGTTTGATGAGCTTCTTGGATGTATA